ACCCTTGAAATGACTAAGACACTTTTTCTATTTTGAATTTCAAATTTAAATATACAAGCATAGTAAATGGGTTGTCAGTAAGAGTAATTCAGAGGTGTGAAAGAAAATTCTGATTGTTCATGTGTATGGGAACTGCTGAGTCACGGCCTGAACCTCTGATTGATCACCTGAGGTGAGCCATGAGTCAGCCAGAGGAGCACAGCTGAAGGCAATTCCCCCGTGCTGCCGTGACCTATTTAAGAGCTGGCTACCAGAGGGGAAGGATCTCTTCTGGAGATCCCCTCTTTTGGTGTCTTCTGGTGAGCTCAACCGAAGGGTAAGCTCTTCCACTTATTCTCTTTTTGTTATCGTTGTCTGCTTTGCCTTACTCTCTTGATTATATTGTGATTATAACATCTTGGTATCTATTGATTATACACAATTATATTGTGATTATAACATCTTGGTTATACATTCATGAAACTGAATGTTTTTCAGACTTCTGGGATTCAGACCATAAAAGTGAATGTCAATGTAATTATTTTTCTCTCAACATAACTTCAGATATCTACTTGAACTGATGCTTATAGATAAATAAATGGTAGATTTCATAATGCATCTTTCTTCAAATAAAGAAGTACACTAGTGCTTATAAATATTCATTCCTTCCATCACCTGCAGAACATGGTGTTATCACCTTTTGCATCCTACTGCAGTCTAACAGGTAGTAGATAGAGGCTGAATGCAGTTACCACGATGTTAATAAAGCAATGTACATCCATGCAGAAATATGAAGTGCTTACAGAACTCAAATGACAGAAGTCATCCCTTTTCTGAAGAGATGGTAAACTAATGCTGGAGAAGGCTAATACTAGTTTATGATTTTGCTTTTTTGCAGATGTATACATCAAATGGGATGATTTCTCTGTTTATTTATTCACATAAGTAAATGATCATGAGGTCTCAGGGTGAATTATTTTTCTCATTCTGAGAAAGTCCTTATGAGAAGGAGCCTGACTGGTTTCAATATTTGTTTCTGTTAAGCTTTGGGGATTTTTTTGTTGGTTACATTAGCAGTTTAAATTTGAAATCTTACGAATCTGACATCTTCCACTGTTCTGCACACTGCCAGAACAGATCTGTCATGGAGAGCCAAAAAGTCTGTGTGTAGTAAGTTGTGTGGTATGGGTGAACATAAGTGAGCTGTCTAGATTAGCCCAGGCTACTATAGCCCATGTGAGGGGCAAATACTGTACCTTTTTAATTCAGTAATCTGCTTATTCAATCTTTACCCTTTCTATGGATTTAATGTTCATGTAGTGTATTGTAGGTCATTTTGAACTGACTTACATGAAGGGGTGCACTTTTTCAAGTTATATATTTTTGTGACATGTAAAATAAACTCTCATGCATTTCTTGAGCATACAATCAAAAGTTAAAGAAGTGCTTTTCTATTTGCTGATCTGCTGGCAAGAATGACCTTGAAATCAGACACTGCACCAAAGCAGTGTAGCACCAAAGGCTGACAGGCAGATGAGTGGCAGCTCCTTGACAGACTTGGAGGCCATGGAGAAGCTGAAAATAATGAAGGTACCTAGCACAGTCTTCTGGCCATGGATCAACAAATGGGCTCAAGATAAGATAGCCTCCATGACCAACAAAAGGCTGTAGAAGACATGGCAGATGCTTTCAACCAGATTTTCCCAGTAATGAAGAGTCTCAAATAAATGTAGATGAATGTGCTACTTTACAGCAGTACTTATCAGTACAGAGCAAAGCCTTTCCCAAAAATGGAAGAGTAGAAAGTTTCCCATGATCACTTTCAAAGGCTTCTAACAGCCAAACTTTTAGCTGATATCACCAGCTGCTTCAGGAAAAAAATGTTATGATAAACAGTTATCACTGACACAGAAGGGGTCTGTCTGTTTGGAAATGTTCTCAGACAAGCAGTGTTCTCACCAGAATTCATTTCTGTTTGTTTTAGGGGAAAAAAAAAAAAAGGTAGACAAATCAGAGGGTGTCAGATCCGACACCTGTCAAGAAGTGCCTTTCAGATGGACTTTTGTATGGTACAAAATCCAAGGATGTATAAGGAACACAGACTGGTTATGGGGCTTCTGAGTTCCTTTCTGCATCTTCCTTATTACACTTTCCCCTCCATTTAGGACCTCTGTCTCACCTTTCCCCATTGGTTCCCAGCGTTAAATAATCTGCAGAATGCCCTGTTGCAAGAATTGTTTGGGAAGAAAATTGTGTTCGCTTTCTGCCTACTGCATTTCTCACCCAGAAAATTCAGAATGCCTTTGGAAAGTGTCTGTGAAAGGTTTTAACTGCCCTGCTAAACCCCTGAGTGCTGCTTTTAAAGACTATCCATTAAGTGGAGTAGGCTTCTGACAGTGGGCTGGGAACATGAGACTTGAGCCTGCTTCAGCAGCTGGCTCTCCTTCCTGGCACAGCAGAAGGCTGAGCGCGGCTCACAGCCACCTCATCCTTCCTCAGCAGGAGCACTCAGGACGGGAGTCTGCTGAGGAAAAAAGAGAGAAAGAAAAGAAAAAAAGCTTCATTTTGTTGGAAAATGATGATTAATCAGAACTGAGCACTTTAATGGAAAAATATCTCATTTGACAAACTTCCAAAGGAACAGAGAAAACTGCATTGGAAACACTCTTACTTTCTGTCTTCTTAATACCTGATAGGTGAACAGAGCTCCTAAGACTTGTTTCTTCAAGGTTTAAGGCTCCCTCTGCTACTGTTAGGGGCTAGCTGACAACCTAGAGGGCTGTACCCTTGGGCTCAAGTTGATTAATTTTGCAGTAGTATAAACGTTCCTTTTAAAAATGAGATTTCAATGAGAAATGCCAAGATTTTGACTTTCAACCTTGAGTTATAAGAATTTCCAGAAGAAAAGGAGTTCCAGTTTACAACTGTGTTTGTTCGGTTCTCCATACTTCCTAGTCTCAAGGAAGTTTTCACAAATCCTATGATACCATCGCCTGATTCCTGTTCTCACTTGATGCTGGTGGCTAAGTAGGTCAGTCAAAATCAGCTGGTCATGCTAGAGACGTATGTATTACTCAGATGCTGCCTAAATTCTCAAAGTGGTCTCCATTTAAAGCATGGAGTCCATTTTTTACTGTGCTTGATTATCAGTGCATTATGCTGTGCAGTCAATTTTTATGCTCAGAATACCTGGTTGTATGTTAAATATACTATAGCAAAAACAGTAAGATTATAGAATCATAGAATTGTTAAGGATGGAAAAGACCTCTAAGATCAAGTCCAATCATCAACCTATCACTACCATGCCCACTAAACCACTGGTGTCCAACTCCCTATGTTTATGGTTTAGTTGCTCTTTTTTTTTTTTATGTTTTAATATTTTATATATATATATATAAAGTTTTACTTACATATATCGAAAGATAATTGCATCCACCATTCCATGTCTGTGTACAACACAAAAAAAAGTGAAAGCTAAATGAAGGCGTGGTGGAAGGCTTTGGTTGTCAATATACAATCTTCTGATATTGGTCAATGCTACCTCAGCAAGCTGCACATAAATATTTCTCTAGGAAAAAAAATGGCTTTATGTAATGCACACTGTAAAATTATCACAATGTAAAGACTTATTAACAACGCTTCTACTATAAAGTGAAATTAGAACCATAGGAATCAATTTAAGCTAATAATAAAACAGCATTTTTTCATTTGCAATTTACGTTTATTTTTCAAAGGTAATGCTACAATTTATGCATTAAATACTGCAGCGTATTATTAGAAATGCAGAAAAATTAAAACTGAGAAACTTCATCAAAAAAAGCAAAGTCTAGATTCTGCAAATGGTAGAGGAGGAAAACAGTCATACATAGGTCAAAAAATTACAGGATACAGATTTTGTTTAGTTTCAGTTCACCTTTTAGTTGTCTTGTATACTAAAAATGAAAAGAGGATTGATGGAAAACTTCTGTACCATTTGCATTTGTATAGCAATTTTTTTCACATGGTTTTTGATGTACCTTTTCTTCAGAGGTGGTATTTATAGGAAGATATTCCTGACTCTTATTTGCTCTTTTTTAACAATCCAAACGTTTGTGGTTAGAACACCCCTCTTAAACCTTCCGTTTAATGTTGGTGCAAACTCTTAAAGCAGTATTATTTGATTGAGTAGAACTCTGTGCCATACTCCTCCTCAGCACTAGTATTGGCAGCAGTATTAGTTCAGTCTTGTTAGTTGATGTTACTCTGGCAATGCACTCTGTTTTGTACATCATTTTGGTGTGGGTGGAATTTGCACACCTGCCATATCAAGGGGCATCACTGAGATGTGTCTCAGGTGAAAACCAAGAGCGAGTGATGGAGGCTCAACATGGATCTGAAGTCAAAAGAACCAGCTGCAACTCTGCCTTGTCTCAGAGCTGACCTTGCACACAGGCAGCCAGCTCTGTGAGGTTGTGCTTAGGGTCCTTTCCATGCCTGTATATGCCTTTGGTGATGGGAGGGGAAAAAATTAATGGCTTCACAGCATCTTAAGAACTGATAACTCTGGTGTTGCTGTTCTTATCACTGGCTACTGAAATTCTTTATCTCACAGGAAACTGTAATTCTTGTGAGTTTCTTTTAACTTATATGAAGGTAGTTTTCTCATGGGAAGCATCAGGACAATTTACGTTTGTACTAAGCAGAAGTCATCTTGGATTTCTGACTCTTCATTTTTCTGCTCGTCTTTATGGGATGCATCATTCAGACAAATATTACAGGTTCTTTTGACAAATATGTCTTTCTGTATCCCAGATAGTAACGTGGATCTGCTAGCATTCTTACAGCCTGAAAAAAGTCTCAGAAGACAAGTAAAGCATTGGAAGCCACTGAAGTGATGTTTGACATTTTCCATCAGGAATGCTAGCTACCACATATAATATGTGATTTAACCATTTGTTGACTGTTGCTGTATTAAACAAGTTCCTACTTTCCTGATGGCTGTGATACTGCACAAGTGCTCAGATCCTTTCTCTTTCTCCCAGCACCCCCAGCTATAACTACGCACCAAACATGGATAAGCACTGGATCATGCAGTACACGGGGCCCATGCTGCCTATCCACATGGAGTTCACAAACGTCTTGCAACGCAAGAGACTTCAGACCCTGATGTCAGTTGATGACTCTATGGAAAGAGTGAGTTCAAAAAACTGCTGTGAATACTTCAAAATCATAGAATGGCTTAGGTTAGAAAGAACCTAAAGACCAGCTAGCTTCAACACCTCTGCCATGAGCAGGAACATCTTCTACTAAGCCATACTGCCCAAAACTCCATCCAGCCTGGCCTTGAACACTTCTAGGGATGCAGCATCCACAGCTTCCCTGAGCAACCTGTTCCATTGCCTCACTATCTTCATAGTAAAGAATGTCCTCCTACCTAATCTAAATCTACACTCTTTCAATTTAGAACTATTATCTCCTATCCTATCACTACATGCCCTGTAAAAAGAAACTCCTCTCCGGCTTTCTTCTTAGGCCCTATTTCGTCATTCTTACTAGTCAGTAACAAAATTAAGTAAATTCTTCCCTTACCTTCACCAATCACAGCCAGGGGAAAGTTCCTGAGATGCAAAGAATTACACTACATATTCCCAAACCATATTAATTTTGGTTATATTCTTCTCAGTGTAGTGCTAAACTCCTTCCTTGCATCTTCTAATTGTTGAGTGAGTAAGCTGTTGCTATTTTTCTTTGTTTGTTTGTTTTATAATGGAAAAGTCAGTGGGCTAACATAAAGACTTGTATAAACAAAAGATGCATCTCTTTTGTATTCTCATGGATAGATGCAGGTTAGCACATGATAACTTCACACAGTCCCTTCACAGTTAGTCCTTCATCTGAAATTTGGGAATTGGCAAATCACAGCAACTCAGGTGACAGTCTGCTTGTGTTTGCAAAAGTTACACAATGCAGTGTACTGCTAATTATAGGTAATGTGATACATGAACTGTTAGGTGTAGTTTGCATGACTTTTTGTTCAAAATTCAAGCACCATGACCAAAGTTCTTTCCCTAGAGAGATTTCTTCAAACTTTAATAAAAATTTACAGCCTTTTCCCCAGCCCACAGCTGTAAGGAATGGGAAAGCTGTAGACTAACACAGTAAATCAAATCTGAATAACATTTACCCTAAAGCTGTAGCTGAGCTTTGTTCCCAAGCTGTGTTTCAGTATACATTCACTTCGGACACACTAATGCAACTACATTAGTAGTGCCATATTTTGGTATTATAATTGTCTGGGTTTCCTCTCTTTTCTCAGAGTAAACTCCCCTCTGTGAAATGTGAGGCTGAACTTCTAAGGTGAATGTTTTCATCAGCACAGTAGAGACAAGATGTAAAAATGCCCATTCCCAAGATGTCAGTTTCAGTAATTTCATTGATGCCATGCTTGATTCTTTGATTCTAAAATAGTAAAATAATTGTTTTACATTATTATGCAGAAATCATGTTTTACCATGTTTAAAGTTTTCCCTGTGCTCTATTTCAGTTATACCAAATGCTTGCAGAAATGGGAGAGCTGGAGAATACTTACATTATTTACACTGCTGACCATGGTTACCATATTGGGCAGTTTGGACTGGTCAAGGGGAAGTCAATGCCATATGACTTCGATATTCGAGTTCCTTTCTTTATTCGTGGGCCAAGTGTAGAGCCAGGATCAGTGTATGTTCTCTTATGTCTTTCGTAAATCTGTTACCTAATATAAAATTTTTCTAAGTACTTGTAATATTATCACTCTGTCTAGCTTCATTTCATAATGGATGCCATGTGACTGCAGAACAATGACTCCTAAAAAGAGTAATGTCTTTCACTTTGCATATTACTGATAAGTTATAATGTAGAGGGGAAAACTGTATAACCTATAATTGCTGTAAGGCTAGGTTTCACAAATCACAGGGGAAGGGCCCTCAAGATATCATTAAGTCCAACCCCCCTGCTAAAGCAGGTACCCGGGTATTGTAGGTACCCTGCAATAGGTCACAAAGGTAGGCGTCTAGATAGGTCTTGAATATCTCCATAGAAGGAGACTCCACAGCCTCTTTGGGCAACCTGTTCCAGTGCTCCATCACCCCTAATGTAAAGAAGGAAGGGTTTGACCTGAAGGTTACTGTAAAGGTTTGGGGTTTGCCTTTAAAAAGTAGACGCTTATCTTTACTGTTCACCTTCTGCAGCAGAACGGCTGGCTATATGCCCTCCTTGTCAAGCAGAAAAGTATCACATGACAATTGCCCCTCTTCCTTTTATTGCACTTAGCTTTTTCTTTCTAGTGATGTTCTGCAGTATTGACCCCTTACTCTCACAGTTGTAGCCTTTAAAGAGGGGTTTCTAAACATAGCTCTTGTGTAAAGCTTTACGTCTTCAAATCCCTGGTAAACATTCATTACCTTTCTCATTCTAATTCTGATATGCAAAGACTTCCATATTGAACATATGACACTGTGACCTTTCCTCTTGATTCACAGAGTACCTCAGATAGTTCTGAATATTGATCTTGCACCAACAATTCTGGATATTGCAGGACTTGACACACCTCCAGATATGGATGGCAAATCTGTCCTAAAGCTTCTAGACTTGGAGAGACCAGGAAATAGGTGAGTCTCAGACTTGAGTTTTTTTTGCCAGTTCAGGAGAAAACACCTAAGTAAATCAACAACAGAGTGGGAGAAGAGATTCAATGAAAATAAACTGTGTCAAGCTTGCAACCACATTTTTCTCATTTGAAAGCCCTCTTAAATAGTACATCTATAAAACTGCAGGTATACATAAGCAGAGGGGTGTGCTTTAAAAAATTAATGGTTAACACTAGCAGTGCTGTATGTAGGTGTCAGCAGTAAATATTATTATTTTGCTTTCAGGTTTCGAACAAACAAGAAGACCAAAATCTGGCGTGACACATTCCTGGTGGAAAGAGGGTAATTATTAGGGGTGAGAGAGTTTTGGGAGAGCCTGCCTGGTGGGAACACTCTTTTGTTTTCGTTTTTTGCCCTCTCTTCTTTCCCTTTATGGTCAGAGAAGTTGTAAATTTTGCAAGCAAACTTACAGACCTGACTTGTTTCTTCATTTCCTACCACTGGCTCTGCATACTGCTGTGCTGTGAGGTCCCTGCCCCCTAAGAACTTTGAAAGCATGTTTTTCTGGCAGCTCTCCTAGCCTATACCTCCTCCTTCTTTAACACTGTACTTGTGACTACTTATGTCATCATCTGACTCATTTCTTTCCAATTCTCTGTTTCATATCCAGCTGTGCAATATCCTTTTATCAACTGATTTTGTATTTTCCACCACAGATTAGAAGCATTCTTCATTTTTGTTCTAAGAAGAGAATTACATGTAAATGAGATTTATGACTATAATACTCTTTTCTCTAATACCTCCTTACTCTCTCACCTTGACAATTCCTGTTGTGAAAATTTTCTCTATTTAAAAAAGTTCTTAGCGATTTCCTTGTGATATTTTATAGTTTTTCAGATTATGAAAATCTTGTGTGGGTACTACAAAACAGTGCATATTAGATACACTGTGCTGAATTGAGTGTGGAAGCCCCATAGTCTCTTCATCAGGGCTTTTCAGCTAGATTTTACTGCTTCACAGTATTGTCCTTTGTGAAAGAACACACATTTATGTGTGAAAGGTGCTGAACTGTATCAGATAAACATATTTCAGTAGTCTTTATTTCTCCTTAGGTAACTTCCAGAAAATCAAGTGAGCCTTTTTTTCACTACATGACTTTTTGTCATTAAAGGTCTCCAGCAGAAATGTGGGGATTTTCTTCCTTTGGAGACATTTAGCATCCAATTAGCTTTGTTTTTCCAGTTAAATTCATCATCTCCAGAGTTTGGAAAAATGTATATTAAATATTCAATTTTTTTTTTTTAAAGCAAATTTCTTCGCAAGAAAGAGGAAGCTAATAAAAACACTCAGCAATCTAATCAACTGCCAAAATATGAGAGGGTAAAAGAATTATGCCAACAAGCGAGATACCAGACAGCCTGTGAACAGCCAGGACAGGTAAGCTACAGCAATTGTAGTCCTCTGTGTGCCACAAGGAAATACATATCAAAACAAATTCAGGAATATGTCTTTTGGATCCTTAGCAATCATTGTGCTTTATTATTTATCTAAGCTCCTTTAATGGAAGGGTCCCCTTCCTTGGAAATATTTACTATATAAGATTACTGTAAAGAATCAGACAGTGATTCATATTCAAATGTCACTTCTTCTTCCTGTAGCCTTAATATTTTCAGCATGATGCTTGATGCTGTTACACAGATATAAATGCCTACTCACAAAATAAGTGGTGTTGTTGCCTGAGTAGTCCACCAATACCAGCAGCTCTGTGGTGCTTATATGGGAAGTGAACTAAATGGGAGGGCGAGGGGGCATTTTTGTTTGAAGTAGGTTTTAATTAATATTTTTATCAATAATCTTTCTGAGGAGATTGAGTACACCCTCAGTAAGTTTGCAGATGACACAAGTTGGGAAGGAGCGCTGATCCGCATGAGGATAGAAAGGCCCTACAGAGGGATCTGGATAGGTTGGATCTATGCCCCGAGTCCGATTGTATAACGTTTAACAAGGCTAAATGCCTGGTCTTATACTTGGGTCACAACAACCTAATGCAATGATATAGGCACAGAGAAGAGTGTCTGGAAAGCTGCCCAGCAGAAAAGAACCTGAGTGTGTTAGTTGATGGCCATCTGAATGTGATCTAGCAGTGTGCCCAGGTGGCCAAGAAATCCAGTGACATCCTGGCTTGTGTCAGAAACTGTGGCCAGCAGAAGTAGGTAAGTGGTTGTGCCCCTGTACTTGGCACTGGTGAGGCTGCACCTTGAGTGCTGTATTCAGTTTTGGGCCCCTCACTTCCAGAAAGATATTAAGGTGCTGGAACATGTTCACAGAAGAGCAACAAAGCTGGTGAAGGGACTAGAAGACAAGAAATATGAGGAGCAGCAGAGGGAACTGAGGTTGTTTAATCCAGAAGAGGCTGAGAGGGAGACCTCATTGCTCTCTGCAGCTACCTGAAAGAAGATTGTAGCAAGGTAGGAGTCAGTGCTTTTCCTCAGATGACAATTGATAGGATGTGAAATGGCTTCATGGTTGCACCTTGGTAGGTTTAGACTGTATAATTAGGAATAATTTCTTCATGGAAAGAATGAAGAAAGCCTTGGAACCGTGATTGAGACAGGCTGCCCAGGGAGATGATGGAATTCCCAACCCTGGTGTTATTTAAGAGATCATAGAATCATTAAGGTTGGAAAAGACCACTAAGATCATCTGGTCCAACTGTCAGCCCATCACCACTATGCCCACTAACACATGGCCCTCAGTGTGACATCTCTGTATTTCTTGAACACCTCCACAGACTGTGACTTCACCACTTCCCTGAGCAGCCTGTTCTAGTGCTTCAGCACTCTTTCTGAGAAAAAATTTTTCCTAGTATCCAACCTGAATGTGTAGACATGGTGCTAAGGGACATGTTTTAGTGGTGGAATTGGTGGTGCTATGTTGATGGCAGGTTGTGATCAGCTTAAGGGTCTTTTCCAACCTAAATAATTCTATGAAATTAAGAAAAAGTGAGTCACACCCCAAATTTTGTTCAGCTGACTCTCAATTAATACTGTATCCATGGCAGTGTATGAAGCTGAATTTTCTGAGGAAGAATTAGATGGGATGCCTTCCCACTGACTCCATCTCTGAGTAGTGCAGGCAAGGTCCATGGGCACCATCACACCCTTCTGCCTTCCCCCTCGTCTCCATCTCTGTACACCTCTCCTGAGGAGTGCAAGGCGATCTCTCCCAGGCAGGCACTCACGCTTTCCCCTCAGATGTTTTCTCAGGCCATTGCAGCCAGCTGTAGGCCTGGCACTGAAATACCGACCTACTGTTTTGAAGGGAGTATAAAGCCTTACTGTGCAGTGCTTGCATCTGCAGCCACCCACGGAGCTTCACCCAGGTCAGGTAGAGCCCTGTAAAAGAAACCCAAAGGCACTCTGGAGAGCTTGTGCACTTACAGACATGTTCCTTCCTCACCTTGCTCTTGTCACTCATTAGAGCATAGTGTTACGGTAAATCTCCGTTAATCCCAGGTTGGATGGGAGTATGTTTTGGCTGGCACATCCGTGGTCCATTTCTCTGCCACAGTTCCCACCTCACACATGCTCCTAAAACTCAGCCACTTTTAAGGGAGTGTGCACAATATCGCAGTCTCACCCAAGGGCAAAGTTTTCAGGAGTTCAAACACTGCCATTGTAAACGGAGATTAAATCTGAAAAACTGAATATTTTTATAAAAACCAGAGTAGATCAGTGGAGTCATTTAGACTGTTAGACGCTAAAATGTTTAGTTTTAAAATACTAAAATATTTTTTAAATTATTTCTTATATTTACTACGTCTTATGCCAAAATCCAGGTTTGTAATAACTTTTCCACATGTGAATAGATGAGGTTAAGTGTCCTGATGAGGTATCACAACTGAAGCAGATGGGAGCATTGCCGCTAACCCAGCTCCCAGTCCCCAGTGGCAGACTTGGCTTTATGTCCTGTGCTGGGACTCACCTCTGATCCAAAAGCAGAGGAAGGGGAAGGCACTGAGCTTAGAAAGAGCTGACAAGAGCAGTGGTGCTTGATACCAGCTGTCCCACCTATGGGACTTCTAGATGCAGAAGATACCTTCTCAGAGCCCAGCAGCCAGGCATTACAGCTGAGTGAAAGACAAGGTGAAAGTGATCTTCTTATGAGAAACTTTCAGTCCTTGCCTTTAGTGCATATGAATTATGTTCCTAAGCAAAGACAGTAGAGCTGTCCCTGATCCGTCTAACATCCTGAAGGCATCCTGCAAGGATACCGATGTTCAACGCACCTGCATACAGAGCGTCCTGAGATGCATTAGCACATCCTCTTGATGTCCTCTGGGCTCTTTCAATCCATGGTGCACAACCCGTGGATCTCACGCCGCATTCACTCGCATTCCAACCTTGTGAAGCATAGGCAGCTTCTCCTGCAGGGACTGGCTACGCACGATACTCAAGGGCAAAACAGTGAAGAATAAACTGGATGTGAATCTAAGGAGCAGCAGTGTAATAACATAACCTTCAGTGAGGCATTGCAGTGTGAAATGAGTGTCTGCAAAATTTTTCCACTTAAAAAAATTCTTGAAGAAAATTAAAAGTTAATGGACCAAATGATTTCACGTTAGCCCAGATGGTTTCCATTGTTTAATACTGAGAGATCATCATTTAATAGGTTTCTCCAATAGATTTCATCTACTTGTTTTGCACATCTTGGAAAAGAAAAGGAGGTAATATTTGTTTGTCAAACTTAATTTCAATTGTTTGTCTTTTGAGGTTAGTATCTTTAATTTCAATTGCTTGGGTGCATATGCAGAAAAATACCTTAATGTTAACGTATGATAGTTGCTCATACTCCCTACGTTTACACTACTCAGTTGCACTTAAAATCATTTAAATTAAAATCACCTTCAAAATATGTGATTGCTGACAAATTTTTAAAGAATGCAATTATTAGTCACAGGGAAGTTGCTGTAAATGTCTGGAACTGTAACGAACTAAAAGAACAGTGCAAATTAATGCACTGTCTAGTATATTGAGAGCATGTTCTTCATGTTACCTTTATTCAATATCCAGTTCATTTGAAATTGAGAATGCAATTGGGAGTTGAAAAATAAAAAATGTTTTTCTTGTTTTAAAATGAGGTGTGATCCTGAGACCTGCTAATGATTGCATCTTCAGGAAAACAATTGTTTTAATTTGTTTTCTATTAAATAAGTAACCTGGAATAGTTAAGACACTTTTTAAATGGAAAATTTCAAAATTTCAATATTTTTTTTTCAATTTCCAATGTTTACTCAAATGTGGCTAAGCAAAAAGGAAAAAAAGAAAATACTGAACATCTTTGTAATTTCTGTAATTGTTTCATAATTATGTCTAAAAAAGAGAGGGAAATTTAGGCTACAGGGTACAGTTAGCTGCCAATCAGCAAGGTTTTTACTTACAAAATAGAAACTGTTTTAATTTCTTTAAGAGAATACGGTTACAAAATGCACATGCAAAATACAGTTAAACTGTTTTTATTGTGATTTTTTTTTTCAGAGATTCATAGATTGGCTCATTTTCATTGTTGCCCATCCTCACCTTGCTATTTTTCGTAATCCTCTTTATGGGAGAATGGTTCCCAACAGTTGTCACATTCTCAAGAGCATAGCAGAAATCTGATGACTGCGCAGATATGCGCACTTTTGAGTTACATTCAGCTGGTCATTAACTTGAGCCAACAGTGATTCCTTGCAGAAGGGAGAACCATGCATACAGAGTTGCATTAGCAGGAATAGAGCTAATGGGTCATGGGAAATGATCACTTGCCTCTACGTGGTGTGCATTTGGGTTGGGACCTCTGTTAATCTGGATTTCGTCCAGTAGAGGACCCTGGAGGTGGTCAGGAGGGGCAGTGGTTTGTTTCTCCAGAGGCAAGGGGGATCTAATTGCTGCCTTCAACTAACTAATAGCTAGTTAGAGAGAAGACAGACCCAGGCACTTCTTGGAAGTGCACAGCAAAAGGGCTATAAGCAATGGTCAAGTTGCAGCAAGGGAAATTCTGAGTAGGTGTATGGGAAAAAATGTTACTATGAGCGATTAAGCACCAGAGTAGGTTGCCCAAAAGGCTGTGGAAGGTCCATCCAGTGATATTTTCAAAACCTAATGAAGTCGTTCCTGCTTTGAGGAGGAGGTTGGAATAAATGACCTCCAGATGTTCCTTCCAGTGATTGCATGTGCTCCAGATCTTTTTTCTTGCTTAATTCCTAAGCATGAGGATTTTTGTTATCCTTGTTCTCCTCAGTTTCATAACCTGGGAAGTGCTGCAAAATTTTGTCTGTCTTGTCAATGAGATCACCTGCCATGTTCAGAAACAAATTGGCTTTTAGCTTCTGCCCCGACCCAGTTGTTGAGCTGTGCTCAGTGACATCGCAGCTGGTCCTGTTCCACGCAGGCCGG